ATCTGGCAGAGCAGCACATTAGCATGGACCTAACTCAGGGTATTCGAGAAGTTCTGCTCTCAGAGGCCTTTTCAGGACCAGTTTCTTCTTTACATTTGTTTGACAAGCCAGCAGAGCAACACACTGGATCAGCCACTGAGGCTGTTTGCAACTGGTACATTGAAAATATAATCAAGGATATATCTGGTGCCGGAATCCTTTTTGCTCCAATTCACAAATGCTTCAAGAGCACAAGGCCTGTTGGCGGATATTTTGCTGATTCTGTCACTGATCTTAAAGAACTGAAGGCCTTTGTTCGGATTTTTGGTGGCTATGGAGTTGACAGGCTAGACAGAATGCTGAAAGAACACACTGCTGCACTTTTAAATTGTATTGACACATCATTGAGATCAAACCGTGAAGTGCTAGAAGCAGTTTCTGGCAGCCTGCATTCTGGTGACCGAACAGAAAGAGAGGCATCAATAAAGCAGATAGTCGATATAGACACCGTGATTGGGTTTTGCGTTCAAGCTGGGCTGGCCTTGGCTTTTGATAGACTTCTAGCTGAAGCTTCTGGAGCTGTGCTCTTGGAAGGTGCGCCCTTGATACATTCATTATTGACTGGGATAGCTAAGCATATACCTGAAGAAATACCTGAAAAGATAGAAATCAGGAGATTGAAAAGTGTGACAAACAATTTTGGTGTAGTCTACGATCATGATTCTCAGTGGGTGAGATTGATCTTAGAAGAGGTTGGAGGTGCAAATGATGGTTCATGGAGCTTCTTGCCTTATTTATTTGCTACCTTCATGACGTCTAATATTTGGAATACCACTGCCTTCAATGTGGACACGGGGGGCTTCAATAACAATATCCATTGCTTGGCAAGGTGGGCTTGCATTTACTTTTACCATAAAGTAGAACTATATTTTATGCTAGATACTTCTTAATACAAGATGGAATATATATATAGTTACTAAAGGCAAAATGATCCAAACCTATACCTACCCAGTAGTGCTTGGTTCAATTGGTATATATATCTGTTTATGTAATTTCTTGATTCTTCCGTGTTCATTGATTGAGAAATATAATGTTTTTATGGGTCTTTTAGGGAAATGTATTAATGCCTATCACAAATAAATTTTGTTCGCAGGTGCATTAGTGCTGTAATTGCAGGAAGCGAGTTTGTTAGACTGGAACGTGAGCATCAGCAAAGACAATCTCTCTCAAATGGACATGCTGTTGATACAGGGGACCCTGAGAGTCAAAGTCGTTTGTCAGCTGAAGCAAGCATAAAATCCTCAATGCAGCTCTTCGTCAAATTCTCTGCAGGCATTATATTGGATTCATGGAGTGAAGCTAACAGGTACACTGATTTATCTTTACAGAAATGGTCATGCAATAGATTTGAGTCATTGACTGTCAAAATTCTCAATTCAATTCTCCTACTTAACCACGTGCAAGCTGCTAATGATTTCAACTGTTCTTCACAGATCTCATCTTGTAGCACAGCTAATTTTCCTAGACCAACTTTGTGAGATATCGCCTTATCTTCCAAGAAGCTCTCTCGAACCCCATGTTCCATATGCCATTCTCCGTTCGATATACAGCCAGTATTATGAAAATTCTCCATCTACACCACTCGCATTACTAAGTGGTTCACCTCGCCATTCACCTGCTGCATCACTCACACATTCATCTCCTGGAGTACGACAGCCCCGTGGCGACCCCACTCCCCAGTATGATTCAGGTTATTTCAAAGGATCATCATCCCATGGCCAGGAGCACCTTTATGATACTGACAGTGGAAGCTTACGGAGCAGTGAAAGCAGGCAACGGAATGTTCGTCGTTCAGGGCCTTTGGATTACAGCTCAAGCCGTAGTAAAGTCAAGTTTGTGGAAGGCTCAACTGCAGGAAGTACCGGCCCCAGTCCGCTGCCAAGGTTTGCTGTCTCAAGATCCGGTCCAATATCATACAAGTAAAAAACCAAGCACGAGTTAAAAGGGGTATAAAGGGATGGTAATTTATCTACTCTGTAATTTTGTCAATGCTCAGTCCTTCATCCACATATTAGATAGATGAGCTAGTTTATACAAATTTTGACAAATTGCATATCTAGGGTTGTCGAACAAAGTTTCGTCCTTATAAGTGGACTTGATCTTGTAAATTCGTCCTATTGGTGTCACTCTGTGTACATCCAGTCTGTCTATCAAGCTTTGTACTTCAAAATCTGCCATGCGTTATCAATTATTTACCATGAAATCAATTTCTTTTAGTGGGAAAAAGAAAAGAAAAGAAGAAACAAAGCAACAACGATGCGTAACTAGCCAACGAGGTGCGCAGCTCCCGCACACAAGCCTTCTAGACATGGTGAATAATTTTAAAAAATAAAACAAAAAAACGGAGGGGAGAAGTTGACATTTCCCTGATTTACCATATTTTGTGAAGTTTATGATGCATCAATCACAAAGTACATGGCTTCCATATAGATGAATTCATATTTGAACCTTCTTGAGCTAATCCGCGTATCAGAATAAGACCTTGGTAAATGATGAACTTGGAAATGGGTAAATGCTTTTTTACTTTGTCCCGTAACCGAACATGTAAAATGTGAAATGTCGCAGTAAAATTATTTAAGCTAACAAAATTATATGTGCACATCAAAAGAAATTTGAGATGAAGTACCCTTCCAGTTCCATCCCAATTCTTGCCACAGAAACCGAACTTCATAAAATATGCACAAAGATCAGATATCATTAGATCTATTTATTTGTAGTCTCTCTTTATATCTAACTTCCAAGAAATCGTTCTCACATTAAAATAAGTTATACCAAGCTTTATCAATTATTTACTGTGATTTCAATTCCTGTTAGTGAAAAAGGAAAACCAAACTAAGCAACAAATGTTTGCACTACTTTATTCAGACTTTCTTTATGAATTCCACACAGATATACCTTCTAAACATTATGACATTGACAAGATTTTATACAAACAAGTAGAGGCATAAGATAATAGACGCCCAATAATTACTTGCAGTATAATTACCACGGTGCATAACTTGGTAAAAACTGCAAATTCACTCTGAAAGATAACCCATAAGAAGTCAGCGGAGGTGATGCCTGCAAGAAGAAGAAAAGTTAGAAATAATTTGATTGAAAAAAAAACAGGTAGAACTAAATAAGCACTAATAAGACCAGGCAAAAATACCGGAGAGTTTCTTTTGTTCCACGCCGGATTTTGCAGCGTATTGTTGGAAGGCCAAGACGCTGGTGAGCTTCATAACGATGACAACCGGAGAAGCCTACCAGGCCATGACAAAATCATTAGCTATAATCCTGAAAGCATATTTGTGGCTATAATATTCTGATACAAAGCTTTTTAGCCTTCTCTTTTCTTCACTGCTTTCAACTAGAACTCTCCAATGATTTGTAAGGAAGAAATATAAAGACTAATAACTATTTGTGGAGAATAATGATAAGAGCATACCATAATAAACTCCCTCAACCTCAAGCACATCAATCTGCATTAGTAAGACGAGTCAGACTAAAATTGATTCTGGAATATGTATCAAGAAGTAATAGCTACATACAAAGAGCTACCTACTGCTTTACCTATTACATAGATGAATATATAATTCTCTTTTCGTTACATGTTCCTATATATTGTGTTCCATAGAAAATTTATTTGATAAAACCTAGTAAATGTCTAACCAGAAAAATGGACAATCAATAATGGCAACTGTCCGGATTATCTGTTTAATTGGTTTTATGCTACTAAAAGAAACATAAACCAGTGTATTTCCTAAGAGAAACTGGAAAAAGGAAAAAGAAACAACTGACGTTTTGAAGGCTCAACTAAAAATAATAAAAGGCATTCCACTTCTTACTAGCCTTTGCTAATTCATAGCATACCATATTTTAACAACAACCTTCATGATCCTTTTGTTTTAGTATGGTGGGTTCCAACACCAGCTTAAGAGTGTGGATAATAAGACCACTTGGTCATGAAAATACACTGTCTTGATAAGGTTGTAAACTTTAAAATCTATACTTGATCGAGTTCGAGAGTAAAATCATAGTTCTATTTGTATGTCTTATGGTGCCTTCATGATCCCTTTGTTGCATACTTCTCAGTAACTTACTATAAAATGGGGGATTCTTGCAATTCCTGTATGAACTATGTCTACCCTTTAAATAATCACAAATCCTACTTCTATACGTCAGCATTTCATTACAAGGAGTAATTGAGTACTACTGATATTATGTAAAGAAGTCCATTTTCTAAGAACAAGCATTACATAACAAGAGCCAAATACAGCCTGATAATTATATATTAAAATTGAGAAAGTTTGGAAATGAGTGAACAAATTCCCATATCCCCCCAAGTAAATCGTCCATTATCCAACAATCACCAAGACCATGTGAGTACTCAAAAGTTCGAAACTAATCCTAGATGATTTGTCTTTCATTTTCTTGGAAGCCAAACAGAAAATATACAAAACTCAATAAAGAAATTTACGAGTTTGAGGTTGTTAGCAGTGCTTACAGGTGTCTGAAGGCCAATTTCACTGATGCTGTCCATGAGTTCTTGAACCTTGATTGGGTCGTTAGCTCTGGTTCTCATCAAAGGCCTCCTTATCTTATCAAGAGGAAGCTCCAAAATCACTGGTCCACCAACCCCACCACTGCTACCACTAGAACTCAAAGGAGGAGACCCTGAAATGTAGTTCTTATAAAAAATATTTCATTTTTATAAGAAAAAAATCTATATAAGCCATAGATTTTTGTACCATTTGATGAAACCGAAGCAGAAACAGTGAAGCTCCTCAAGTTGTTTGGTACTTGCAGAACAAAATTCGCCATTTTTGTTCTCTGTTTTGCTAGTAAGCCTCTCTCTCTCTGCGTATCTATAGTCACGATATACACTATGTTTTGATTGGATGGTATTGGATCTTCGGCTTAATCACAACTGTTCAATGAGAATTTATTTGTTTTTTGAAGACTTTTGGTATGACCCATTTATTTGGACGGTCCAGATACCACCGAGACTTTTGCCACTTCACATTAGCCAAACCCATTTTCCAATTTATTTTATTTTCCAATTCATTCGTTCCTGAAAGACAGTTCCTTTGGTTCCAAACAAATCCCAATGGCTGCAGTTACCTCCTTTTCGCTCTTCAGGTACTCTTGCTGTTTATCTCTTTGACTTTCACTCACTTTGTTGGTCTCGTCTATAATGTTTTGTTTTGTTTTGGAATTTGGAACAGGAACTGTGCAGCAACAACTGTGAGAGCTTTTGTGACAGTGAAAGCCTCCAACCCCAATTTCACAACCTTCCTTCTTCCTCTTCACTCTCGCAGGTGAACTCTCTCTCCCTCTCTCTCTCTCTCTCTGATATTTTGTTCAACTGTTTTTTCACTAGGAAAAAAGGATGGTCTAATTGTCACCAAATTGAAAGTTCTCAAATCTCCTTGCGATGCTCTGAGCTTATACCATAATCTTCACCTGGGTGTCTGTTAATTTATATTCAATAATTAAGGATGAGAGAAAGATGGCCTTTTGGATTATTTTATTTTATTTTATTTTTATTTTTTGGGAGGGCTACGAACTTTCTGTAGAGTTTGATAGTGGAGTGTTCTTTGACATTGGTAAAGTCGTGCATTTCAAGATGTTTGCGCTGTTTTCCCTTTTTGGTGAGTTTGTTTGACCGTTTTGTTGTAGAAAATGTACCATTCTTTCTGTGAAAATTGCTGATTTGACATCTATTGCCAAATTTCACGATGCAGACACCAAAACCAAAATGTCCTATATGTGGTGTCTACTGGCTGGTTTATGTTTGGTCTAGCTCGAATGCTTTGGCATACTACTGCATGCTCTGCAGATTAATTATCTGCGATGCCTTTTGAGCTTCGTTACTTCATAAAAAAACACAAAGGTGGTGTTCATTACCTGGGAGCCAAAAATCTCCTTACCCATCATCTTTCCAACTTTAAATTATCAAATAGGGGACTTGAATATGGGGGCAGGATGCGGTGGCCTTTTGAGATTTTAGCACTGTAGCATGTTTGTTGGAAACCCTTATTGAGGATCTAGTTGGTTGAATACTTTATCCAATATGAAATACTTTTGCCCTCCCAAAGCTGCTTTTCATTGCTGTTCTTTGCATTTCCAAATAAGATATTGATAGTTTATTGGAGTACATCGTGGTTCATGATACAACTTTGTTATACTGCGGTAACTCTATCAAATTATCAATGCATATGCTTATCTATTTGTTGGCTGCTCAAGATCCAAGTCACATTAAGTTTGTAAGAATGAAAAATTGTTTATCGCGCTAGTCTGATATAGTAGAAATATGATTTGCAAATGGTCCAATTGGGTGATCTGTTGCTGAAGAATACTAATATTTTGTTATCAAGTAACTATAGTTTAGCATGTTGTTTATTTTAAAGTGTGTTAAATAGTTTAGCATGTTGTTTATTTTAAGGTGTGTTATATGTCATTTGCAACCACTTTAATTACTGATATGGTTGTCCCTTGGTGCCTTGCATATAATTATCAGTTACATATTTTTTTAGATCCCTGTGCCGTGTTAGCGCTACAAACGATGAGGAGGCTGCTGCCAAGGTAGCTGCAGCTAATGCCAATGGTGGAGCTCCAACAATGTATCATCCTTGACATAGTAAAACTGGTTTGATCTCACATTCAAGTTCATAGCATACTTTTTTAGTCTGGAACTTTGTATATAACTTTTTAAGTTTTGACCCATCAAAATATGGGGAACTCAGTGTGGGTTCTGCCTTACTGAGGAAATTTTCACTGGAGGTGGCAATATCTGTTTCTTCATCTTGATCAATTTGATATTGTATTTATGTTCAATAAATAAAAGTTATCACAATCATTGCTTTAACATTTCATTGAAATGGGTAAGAGCTAAACGGAAATTTAGTACACGTTAAAACAATATGTTTTATCCAAATTTACATTTGAATTTAGGACTTCCTTCTCCCCCTGTTTTAGATTTGACAAGATCATAGCAAAGGAAATCCCATCAAGCATTGTATATGAGGATGATAAGGTCCTGGCATTTCGGGATATCAACCCACAGGCTCCTGTTCACGTTTTAGTCATCCCGAAGTTTAGGGATGGATTAACTGAGCTGAGAAAGGTAATTCCTGGCCCTTATAATATCGAACATGGTTTTTTCTTCCGGTATTAATCTTCATTTTTACTATGCCAAGTACTTTTTCCAATTAAGATTTTTTAATGAAATTCTCTAAGCATGATGCAGAATAGAAAACGCTCCCTTTTGATTTGTGCATTCTGTCTTTGCAGGCTGAACTTAGGCATGTTGAAATACTGGGTCAACTTCTCCATGCTGCAAAAATAGTTGCCGATATAGAAGGCATTCTTGATGGGTTTCGTGTGGTTATCAACAATGGTCCAGAGGCATGTAAGTATCCCTGCATAGTTTCTATCGTCGCCTTCCTTTCATAGTTGTGTGATGCTTTGCTTGTTCAATAATCAATGGTCTCACTCCATCCAGGTCAATCTGTTTATCATCTCCACTTGCATGTCCTTGGTGGAAGACAGATGAAATGGCCAGCTGGTTGAAGATCTGAAGCTGCTGGAGGACACCATAAATCTCATATGAGGGAGATGAATAAGTGGAGTTTTTTTGCATAATTAAGTTTGCGTAGACCCTTGTTTGTTTGTGGAAACTTGGTTTTGTATTGCATATGAGACGATGTAGAATGAGGAGTGAATCAGGTTCCATTAATCATGAGTCTTCTGTTTTCTCTTTTTTTGCCTCATCAAAGCACTCTATTATGGGGAGATTCTCCAATAAGTATTTAAGTAAAGGACTGGTTACATACTTCTAATCTCAATATTATGGTATTTACCAATCTAAAAACTATCCTTGGAATACAAGTGATGGAAAAGGGCTTCGTAGGTGTACTTGTACAAGAACCCGCTATAATTCAAATGAAAGAAATATTGTGAGAAAGTAGAATGTGAACCAAAAATCCTTCTATTATGAGATTATAACCCACTATAAGATACATGTACATAAACCAATAATCCTTCTATTAGGGGAGCAACATGAGAACCATCTTGAGAGTTAGTTGATCCTGTTTTGGGTTCCAAAACGGATAAAACAATTGACAAACTCCAAAAAAGCTGGTTTGGGAGACAGAACAAACAAAAGCTCAAATAAATCTGATTTTTATTCTCTACGAATGTACAAATGAATTACAAGTTACATGTCATTTAATTTAATTTTTAAGCTGCTAAGCTTTCATGACCAAGTAAAACAACAGTATCTACAGTAAATTGTATAAAGCCCTGTACTACTATGGCAAATTCTATTACCCCTCAGTGAAAACCCCATCTGTCAAAGAATCTTTCAGCTTTGTTATAAGCAGCTTATAACAAAGCACTAACTAGTCATCGCTCTTCCAAGATGCAGAAAAGAATCCTTCACGGCCAATAGTCGATCCAAGGCGCGGAGATCTAAATATGAAGCACCGAATGATTGACAGAGGTGGAGTAGCCTCCTTTAAAGTAGAGAGTTCTCTGATTAACAGTCTCATTGATGAAAGTAGCATTATAGGCTGGTTACAATTCCAGTCTGATTTGAGCAGAGACAAGAGCAGTCTCGCACATTCAAATCCCTCTTGACAAGTCGTCTGTCTCTGTTGATCGACAGTTTAATAAAAGGGAGCTTCTGTGCAACCTGGCGCCAGATTTCATTCACTGTTCCGTTCGGTACTCCATATTGGAAATAACGCTTCACCTGAATCAAGAAATTAAGATTAATACAGATTAACATTTGGAACTGGCTTGACCTTTGCACTGTAATTACTTAATAGATGCATCACTATTTTGTAACATTTCATACAAATGTGAATAACAAATTGCACCCGCAGTAATTGGCACGCACAAAATGTCAATTGTAGAACTCTTGTGCTTAAACAACGTTTGCCACAAAGTCCACCTCATTATTCCAATCCACCTGGACACTTTACAAATACCAGCCCAGGCTTCTCTAGAGATGCATATCAGCATACCCTTGCACTTATGGCCACATCTGCCATCTTGCAGAAGGCATATCTAATACAAAATTCTAGAGAGAGAGAGAGAGAGAGAGAGAGAGAGAGAGAGAGAGAGGCAGAGGCCATGCTAGCACACACACAAAGGTGCTCTAATGAGGACCTACGTTGAGGGCTAACATCTCAGTCACTCGTACTTGATCTAACAGATAAGATACATATGCTCTCATGGTTCACATTAGAATACCAATGTGTGTTTGTGTGTGCATATACATTAACTTCCTTCCCCATGCTCAAACAAAAAGTAAAATTTGCAAAAATTTTCCTGTTTTTAATCGTCGTTTCACCATTACTTGTTTTTCCACCCTTGGACTTCAACCAAATCAAATGTTAAACATTTCATACAGGAAATGAGTAAAAGAAGCAACAATGGCAAGAAGTAAAGCAGACATGAATTTCAAAAACAAGAGAAAGAACTAAAGCGGAATGAAACTTGAAAAACAACAGCAAGAAAAGGCAAATCAAACCCCAAATACAAAGCAATTGGACTAACCTCATTCAGCTCCTTCTGGTATTCCAGAATTCTCTCAGTTGTGATTCCTCTCAGCATTGAGACCAAGAATTCTGGCTTTAAAGCTGCATTGGATTCTACAAATATTGCTATCTTTCTGTAGTCTATAACATCTTCAAATGGAAGCTCAATGCTATCACTGACTATCACAGGCACACACAAGCTAACTATCGAATCAAAAAGTCTGCAGGCTGATGGAGTATCACCAGCAGGATTTAAACAGAACTTTGATGTATGCATCCCACGGGAAGCAGCCCGTCGACTCTCTCTGGATTGTGTTCCATGTTTTATTATGACATCCTCCTCATTTTCAAGTAATTGGAAAAGCAAATCACGTATCTTTCCCCCCTACAAACACAAAAATAGACCCCCAAAAGCCAAACATTAGCTCAGATAGATAACTCAGACTAAGATCAAACTTGTACACCAAAAAGTTTCTTTATACACATTCAAATCCTTAATTCATGGACTCAAATGACAATCAATCATTGAATTCTCTATAAAAATGCAACATTTCAAACATACCCACAAGATAATTTATTACAACAAGCAACAATAACGATGAGCATAAGGAATTTAGTAAGCAATTGAAGATGTACCTCTTTGCGGAACCGATTGCCCATGAAGAATAACAAGGTGTTGCGGTCCTCAACACTGATATCGCCGCTGTAAGTGTTGATGCGGTGAGAGTAAGGCACAATCACGTCCTTAACAAGCGATCCTTGGTCCTCCTTCAACCGCCCGAAATCACAAACAAGCAACACACTGTTTTTGACTATGTCGATCACTTTGTACAGAGCATTGGGGTCCGAGGCCATGATCACGTGGTCTCGACCATTATTCCTCTTCCAATACACCTGCTCCTCCAGCCACTCAATCAACGCCACCTGGTTCTCCTCGTCACTGTACAGCGGCTTATCGGACCCGGAAGCCGGTCGGGCCGGGTTGACGATCAGGCTCAATGACGAGAAGAATGGGACGTAGAAGAAGTCCGCCTCTTCCGGATCCAAGACCTTCTGAACGGGCGACCCGAACCGTTCCGATTCTGGTTTGAGCAGGTCCTTGAAGAGGTACCACTCGCCCATGTGCTGGTGACCCGGGTACTTGAGCTTGGAAACGTCTTCGTCGGGTCGGGCGCCGCGGGCCAATGAGTGATGCTCGATAACTCCGTAAGTAAACCGCTTGGGGAGGTCGTATAGGTAGACTTTCACGGGCTTCCCGGGGAAATTAAGCTGATTTTCTCGGGAAGCAAACACGTCGGAGGAGATCGAGGAAGCGGAAGAGAAGGAGGGGAGGGCGGTCTCGAGCTTGGCAGTGGTGGTGGGGGTGAGGAAGGTGTTAAGGAAGGCGTAGATGAGGAGGACGACGACGATCGTGGCTAGGGATTGCTTGAGGAGCGAGGATTTTCGCGCCATGGAGAGGTATTGAGGGAGGGTTAGGGTTTGGTGGGCATGGGGAGAGGTTGAAGAAGGTGACGAGGGTTTGGTGGTCTTCTTGGCTTTGGTGGATCGGAGCTCACTCAAACCCATAGGCATTGCTTTGGGTTGGGGGTGGGTTCGGCGCACAGCGCTAACATACGCTGTGCGCGTAGTGGGAGACACCTTGGTTGTAAAAAGGCTGATTGAGCAAATTTTTGGAATTTTGCATTCTTGAATCCATGAAATGATATGATGTCGTTGTGAGTCGTCACCTAATTCAAATTCTGAACCACATTTCTTTCAGCGTTTTTATTATTGATTAATATTGCTAGGGATTTTTAACAAACACATTTATTTGCTTTCATTTTCACATCAACGTTCAATTTTCTGACTTCTCTTCAATAAAATAAAATAAATTTTGTGCCTTTTGAACCATAAAAAGTCAAATTTGTCCCTTTTCTGAAAAATAAATAATAAATAATAGAAAATAAAGAAAATAAATTGTTTCTCCTAGAATTTAAACAAGCAAAGCTTTTTACTGTTTTAGTATAGTAATTAGTGAGAGTGTGTGTGATCTTATCCCACATCAATTTTACTGCTCCTAATTTACCAAAAAACCAAAGTTTTACTGTTTGGGTAGACCTTGCTAAACTACGACTGAGCCCAAAGGAAGTAGGCCTTGCCTTGCCTAATTCCCATATTTGGTTGTGCCTAACCTTTTTTTTCTTTCTTTTTTCATGAACTCATCATCATTAATTTTTTTATTTATAAAAAAATTTAATTAAGAGAATAAAACCACGTATGGGTAGATCAGTCAAATTCTCCTTAAAATAACTAACATGGACACGTACCCCCCCATCTCTGTCTCTCCCTCTCTCACATTTATTCACACACCATAAAATAAACATTTTTTTTTTTTTTTTGGGTCACTATGCTGAGAGGTCAAATTGGTAAGTTGGTAAGTTGGTAACTAGGATGGTAATAAATTAATAAGGTGATTAATTATGAGATGATTAGAACTTCTTGTGTATGCATGTCGTATACAGCAACATACTCACAGGGGTGGGACCCAAAATACAAGGGTTTCACTATTTTGTGTTTGTAGTAGTGACCTAATAATATGACAGTCGGACTCAAGAATTTCTCCTTATTATGAACCGTGATATCAATCTATTCTTAAAGATCTCATATATATATATCAACAGAAACCAACATCCACTTTTGCTATAAACAAAAGTAAAAACCAGAAATTTGTAACCCCAAGTCAATAACATAAATAAAACGCTGATTAGCTAATAATATTCTAAATAAGTCATATATATATATATATATATATAACTAGTTCAAAAGCCCTGAAAATAATTCAGATATATATATATATCTTGTATAAATTCCAGCTGGAGAGGATCCAGACACCCCTTTTCTTCTTTCTTGCTGCATGCCAGAAGCTAGCCCTTCTCATAAGCTGGTCACTCTGCAGAAGAACATAACCAATGTAGTTTACATATAATCAAACACTAGTATACAAGCGATAATGGTGGAGGTGGCTGAGATTGTAATTGAGAAGGCTCGAATTACTATATAGGTGTACGTACCGTATATAGAGCGGCCGCTGAGATTGAAATCGAGGAGGCTGGGCTGATGAGGAGGCTGGAGAGAGTAGGGGTTGAACTGAGTCTGAGGCATGGCAAGCTTAAGCACACTGCTTGGTTGTTCTTCACCACCAAAAGGGAACTGATCCAGTACGTGTCGATGTTCCTCAGACTTTGGTAGAATCTGCAGATTCTCCACCTGTTCTGCCTCATGGGCCTGCTCATGACCAAATGCTGCGTCTTGATGCGCCTTAATCTGAATCTTGCGTGCATTTAAATTCAACAATTAATTTAAACACTTCATGTTAATTAAAAATTAAACTAATAATTAAGGAAACTTCTAATGGTACAACTTCTGATGATACTCACCAGATGGAATAGTTGCTCATTTTCTTCCTCCCTCCTCTTGGTCTAGTATTATTAAATAATTATATACATAGACAGATCAAAGTTCAAGATCATTAATTAACAATTTTAATATGGTAATTAACTGGAGAGAAATGGGTGTTTAACAAATTAATTACCGTTGCACGAAGATTGTCTATCTGCTGTTGCAAGACCTCAAACTGTACACACAAATAAAAACAAGACATTAAAGAAAAACATAAGCACCAAATAAACTAAAGAGATTTTAAATGATGAATTAAATAATATACCTTGCGAGCTCGAACCCTGTTAACAGACTCCTCTAGCTGGTGCTCAAGCTCCACCAGATCCTCAAAGCGCACACAGCTCAGGTCCTCACCGGTGTAGCGTTGCAAGCTAAGTTCCAGACTGTGAGTTTCTCTCCTCATTTTCCTCAGCTCAGCATTCATATATTCCTATACGTACAAATTTCAATAATGCTACAATTTCTTAATCCTGATCAAGTTCAAATTAATGTTGAATTAAAATCAGTACACAATGATCAATGAGCTACAAATTTATACGTACCGTGTCGTTGTGTTGAAATATTCTAGTCCCTCTAGCAACCTGGTACCTTTGAATCAGCTCCTCCATGCTAAACCATACAAAATATGAATGCAGCCGACATTAATAGCCGTTGAATCCACTGAATTAATGTATAAATTTGATACAATTTATCCAAAATAAAAAGGAATTAATGTATCTATTTGCTACAATTTGATCATTTCAATATATTATTTAGTGGTGCACTTGCTCAAAATGGAAGTAATTATGTCTCATATAAAGGTAAAATACGGTATGAAATCAATTTACATACTGACTCAGACAAGGAAGAGCAAGTAGAACAAAAGAAAAACAAAAAGTAAAGAGTATGATCAGACGATAGAGATTGTAGCTGTGCTGAGGCAGAAGTAATAATACATCATGAATTTTTTTATTTTCTTTGTTTTTATCTGACATGGTAATCATGAAGTTGCCTCTGTCAGAAATTAATATGCTATAGGAAAACCCTAGGTGTGCAGATCTGCGCAGATGGCAAGTAAATGTACTCAATTGGTCAAATCATTTGAATCTGATGAGGCTCAAGGACCAAAACTCAAAACCAAACCTTAGTACTGTGTCAAAATCAACCTGCGACGGTGCTCAGAAAAAAAGAAAAGAAAATTAAAAAATAATATATTGGGAGGGAGGAGGAGAGAGAGAGTAGGACCAGATCATCAGTAGAAGAACTCCAGAAGTCAAAACCAAAACTGGCAAAAAATAACAACATAACACAAGGAAGGAGAGGAGTTGAGAATTGAAACAAATCAAACACATTACCATTAATCAAAGCGTGAAAGTTTGCAAAAAGAAAAAGGTGAACAAATTAGCCCTACCCATGAATCAAAACAAGATCTTCTGACAAAAGAAAAAAGAGAAAATAAACCAAAAATATATAAAAATAAATAAAACAAGGGAACCCATCAAAGCAAAGCAAAGAGAAAAATGAGATCCACAAAAGTAGTAGTAGGTGCTAGTTCATCACCTTGAAGACTCACTGCAGTACTGAAACATCTTCCCAGTGCTTGAGAAGATGACAAGACCGATCTGAGCATCACACAGCACAGAAAGCTCATGAGTCTTCTTGATCAGGCCAGCCCGCCGTTTTGCAAAAGTGACTTGCCTTGTGGTTCGGTTTTCTATCCTCGAAATTGTTATCTTTCCCCTTCCCATATTTATGCAATTTCTTCTTTGTAGGAAAAGCTAGAGAAGAAATTATGGAACTCTGACTCTACCAGTGCTCAAATTCCTGATTTAGATCAAGACCCCAAAACCCAACAATTAGCTAAGTTCAAAAATACATATACTTCGAACAACAAAGTGCATATATATATGGATTGTATATATGGAAAAAAAAATTGCTTAATTGTTACTATGCTATAAGAGTACTAAAGGGGTTCTTATGTTTGTTGGATGAAAATAAATGATGAGAGACTTATACCCAATAAAAATCTTAAATGAAGGAGTGCTACAATAAACAAAGAACTGTGATCAGAAGTAGGAACCTAGTTTTCTAAAAACCCTAATGACGACATATGTAAATATGTTAACATTTTGGTATATACTGTGAAAATATGGGGGGAGAGAGAGAGAGAGAGAGAGAGAGAGAGAGAGAGAGAGAGAGGTAGAAGAGAGAGTTTGGAAGCAAAAGACTTAGAGAGGCATTGGTGCTTTACCTCTGCTTTCTCCCTTTGCCTTGTTGGGTTTCAAGTTTGGAATGCTGAATGAACTGAGCAACTCTCTATATTTAGATAAACTTAGGTAGGCAAATTGCCCATCATTTTCCCACTATTTACCAAAATGCCTCTCTACCGTTTGATTTCAGATTAATGAGTGAAGAGAAAAAGAGAGAGACAGCGCTAATACAGCTTCGGCACACCATGTACAAAATATATAATTGAGTTAAAGTTAATTATGCACTAATTATAAATATTCATCTTTTATATCGTTAATACCTGTTCACATGTTTTTTTTTTCCGAGAAAAATAATTAATAACGGTGAAATTCATATGCATATTTTTTGTGAGGATCCTAGCAGGTGTAGAAGTACATGATTGCATCTAGTTCTGTATTATGGTAAATTAAAAATGCAGCTAGGAGGAGCACATGGAATTGCAGTTGTATCAAAGTGGTCCATCCATGGTCAATAATCTCAATGCCCTAATTAGTGCGCAGAAGAAGATCACATTCATGCATGCTACAGACACATGGGGTATATAGGTAATTTCAGTCGAGAACTACAAAGCTTTGGTGTCTTATTGCATGCAGCGACTGTTAACCACCCCTGCCCTTTTGCCCTTTCGTCTGCAAACCCAGCCTTATGGATTTTGCCATTTATAGACACTTTTTAAGGCTGTGAGCCAACTAGGCTTTCCCAAAATGTCAAACAAATGGAAGACTTGGGTTGATGTGTATATGCATGACGACTTGGGTTGGCTTATGGGTTGGCGTTAGATAAGTGTATTATTAAGCGTTAATAATCTATGTAAACATGGCTTAGTCATTAAGCATGATCATGGAATTTCTGCTAATTAGTTAAAGTGTCACTAATCTGCAACTGACGACCTTTATGAGTCACAACTTTTTTGGGCACGTCCAAGTGACTCATAAATTTTAATTGTGTGATGCTTTTTCTCTAAGTGAATTACTGAATTATTGCATCTTGTATGGTAGCAAATTAACCCTAGTAAATTATTTACCCCAAGAACAACCAAATTGGATAAAGAACAAAGGTTGAAAAATTGTTGTTGATTGGTCCCCACCCTCCCCATAAAAAATTT